CTTTCATAATTATACATCGTCCATCACAACTAACATAGTATATTTATATTAAACTGCACACTTTGTAAATAACATATCTGCACACTAATAAACATATCTGTACATTTATCTAAACAATAAAAAATTTTCCTATACTTCTATATCTGTATATAGTACATTATTCAAATTTTCTTTTTTTATTATTATATTAGTTTTATATTACATCCCTACTGTGTTATTCCTATGTATGTCTACACTATCATGTATGTCTGCACTATGTTTGTACTTTCTTCTACACTGGAAGCTCCTTAAAAAAATCACCTTGGACCCCTCACACCCAGCCCACTCTCTCTTCGAACTGTTGCCTTCTGGTCGGTGCTACAGAGCACTGACCACCAGAACAGCAATGCACAAGAACAGTTTTTTCCCACAGACTATACTCAGTCTTAACAATTAATCTTTCATAATTATACATCGTCCATCACAACTAACATAGTATATTTATATTAAACTGCACACTTTGTAAATAACATATCTGCACACTAATAAACATATCTGTACATTTATCTAAACAATAAAAAAATTTCCTATACTTCTATATCTGTATATAGTACATTATTCAAATTTTCTTTTTTTTTATTATATTAGTTTTATATTACATCCCTACTGTGTTATTCCTATGTATGTCTACACTATCATGTATGTCTGCACTATGTTTGTACTTTCTTCTACACTGGAAGCTCCTGTCGTCAAGTCAAATTCCTTGTGTGTGTAAACATACTTGGTAATAAAGCTCTTCTGATTCTGATTCTGATTCTAGTCTTTGTGCTCTGCGCATGCGCATTGTTTGTGCCGCAGGGAATGCGTCTGCGCGTTCTCGTGAGCGCAGCGGAGTCGGATGTGCAGTCAAAGGCCTTCCGGTACTGAGGCTCACACAACAGCAGGAAAATGGCGCAGATCGCCAAAACACATGACGGTAAATTCATTTTTCAAAGATTATTGAAGAATATAGCGATTTTTGTAGTTTATGTCTACATTGCATTTGGGGTGTCTGTTCTTTTCTAGTCCTAAAAAGTGGAATTAGCGAGAAAAAGCAGAATGAGGCCAGTTTGAGGTGGTGAATAGAATATGGCGTCTGATCGTTGAATCAAACCTGGCCGTGGAGCACATGATAAATATTAACTAATATTCTATCTGGAAATTCGTCTTGTGGTTTATAGCATAGTTAGTTGTAACATTCATTGCAGAAATACGTATTAGTACTGTTTATATTGCATAGAGTTTGAATGTTAAAAATACGCTGGTTGAACGATTATGTATGGCACCAAAATGGCGTTGCAAACACAGACCAGGTCGTTACCCGTATAAGGTTGTTTATCTTTATTAAAAAAATCCAATTGAGTGGTGGTTTCTCTGTGGAATTATTTGTGTTTGCCGTGCTTATGTAAATTTACTTATGTGGATAATTGTTCCGTTTCTCGCCCCTCTAACGAAGTGTTTATATGCTTATATTGTGCTTGTTTACGCTCTCTTTTTTTATTATTGTATCATGCTATGCATGTAAAATTGTATCTAAAGCATGGGTATGTGTAACTGCACTATGTGGATGTGTAAATGTAATTTATGAGGCGTATATGAATTATCGTTCACCTGTTTATAGGTATTTTGGTGTTCTGATCTCCATTTCTTTTTCTTTCTTTTTTTCCCTTAGACATTGAGGCTCAAATCCTGGAAATCCAGGGGATGAAAGCTGCCCTGGTGGAGGGAGCTGAGCAGGGGGTTGGGCTTGATTCCACTGGATATTATGACCAGGAGATCTACGGAGGCAGTGACAGCCGCTTTGCTGGATATGTGACATCAATTGCTGCCAACGAGCAGGAAGATGTAAGTGATAGCATAATACCCTAAATAGTTTTAGAAGAGCCCATGTCAGCATGTGTAAGTACTGCATGAAGGAGTTTCTGAACCTAACTATTTTTATTTCAGGATGATGATGAAGATTCGTCCACAAGTCTGCTTGGACAGAAGAAACCTGGGTATCATGCACCGGTTGCAATACTCAATTCCATTCCTCAGTCAGATGAGCAGGTAATTAACAGAGATTCCATTCTCAAGCTCCAAACTTTTTTTTAATGGAACTTCAATTTTTTTCCCCAGATGCATTTGTTGAAAGATATAAAAGCTAACTGTCATCAAACAATATTCTTTTTTTGCCCATCCTGCAGTATGATCCCTTTGCTGAACACAGACCACAGAAGATTTCAGACCGTGAGGACGAGTACAAGAAACGCAGACAAAAGATGATCATCTCCCCAGAGCGTCACTTTTCTGCCGGTTGAAGTCTGACTGCAGAGGGACCCTTGGCACTGAAAGTGTACGTATTCTGGAGAGCGCAGCCCAGGACCCTGCATCAGTGATGGCTATATCCTCTCCTTATCTCCTCTTAAAAGCAACAGAAACCTCTTTGTACCTGCCTGTTCTTAATGTATGACTGTATACTAAGAGTGCTTAGCTTTTATTGTCTAGGGTCTGTTTTGTGTTATGAGAGGATAGTAATTTAAACATTTAAGGCCATCTATTCAGGGACAGTTGACTCTAGTGCTTTGTGTGTGAAAATGCTGGTTATGAGACTTACTTGGCTGACCGTCTCGCATTTTGTTGGTGCTCTTTCGCATAGGGGGCAAAACGCCGGACCCCAAGATGCAGGTCAGGACGTACATGGATGTTATGAAGGAGCAGCATCTGTCCAAAGAGGAGGTAAATAACATTGGCTTTTAGTGAAACTGTAAGATGTTGGTGCTTGGTAAATTAAGAGATGTTCCTATTTGACCAAACTATTCAATGTGTTTTCTCCAGAGAGAGATCAGGCTGCAGATGCTAGAGAAAGCAAAATCTGGAGAGCTGAAAGCAGTGAACGGCTCTGCTGCATCTCAGGCTGCTGCGGCCAAACGCAAACGACGCTGGGACCAGACAGCTGACCAAACCCCCAGCAACACCACACCCAGAAAAGTGTCCAGCTGGGACCAGGCAGATGGCGGTGCCGATGTGAGTCAATGTTCTTTACCAGCTTTAGGGCTGCAACAAGCGATTATTTTAATAGATTATTTCTTCAATTAATTTGAATTAAAAAAAGCCATATATTTTGCTAATTATATATAATATAATATTGCTAATCCTGTTCTTCTCTTTACCCAGACACCAGGACACACACCTTCCAGCAGTCGCTGGGATGAGACACCTGGCCGTTCCAAAGGTAGCGAGACCCCGGGAGCTACTCCGAGCACCCGTATGTGGGAACCCACACCAAGCCACACCCCAGCTGGAGCTGCCACGCCAGGTCGAGACACCCCTGGACATGCCACTCCTGGCCACGGAGGGGCCACTTCCAGTGTACGCAAGAACCGCTGGGATGAGACACCAAAGACAGAGAGAGGTCTTATATTTTGTCCAGTTTGTGGTGCATTCACTAACAGATATTTAATGCACAGTGATTTGAAATCATTTTATTTTGTGTGTTTCAGAGACACCTGGTCATGGAAGTGGCTGGGCTGAGACTCCACGTACAGACAGAGGAGACGAGTCAGTGGGTGAGACGCCCACCCCAGGTGCAAGCAAGAGGAAGTCAAGATGGGATGAAACACCAGCCAGTCA